TTATTTTTTTTGTTATATTTTGTTAAATTTTAAACTAGTTAACTGTTTAAATCAAAGAACTAAATGTTCAAGTGGAGGGGGGGAACCTACCTTTTTTGTTCTCTGCATTTTTTGATTTCTCAGCAGGAGTATTGGCCATTTCTACTTTCATCTCAAAACCAAGAACCTTCTTTCCGTTTAATTTCAGCGCTTTCTCCACTTCTTCAAGGGTAGCAAACTCAACATAGCCGAACCGCCTGCAGCACAGATGGAACAGTCAAGGAGCTGAAGCACAGGGTGCTTATTTAGCACATCATATAAAGAAAAGAACCACACTTACTTGGAGGCGCCAATCCGTACATCCTGCACTGGCAAATTCTTCTTAGAAAAAAACTCCCGCAGAGCATCTTTAAGTTCATCGTAATCTTTTGAAGAATTCAGGTTTGCAACAAATACAGACAAACCTAGCAGAAGTCAAAACAAAAACAAACATTTCAATCTGAAATAAATGGCATACAGAACTTCAAAATTATAGCCAGCATTAAAAAGATTAGCATGTTGTGTAGGAATTCCAGAGAACCAAAAAAACTACCTATGCCACCATTCACACCCACGTCATAACTTCTACCGCTCGACAAACTAGCTGCTATTAACTACTCACTAAAATTGGAATTTACTTTCCTTTTAACACTTAAGAGCCCAAAATGGCCACCATAATGCAAGGAAAGGACTTTCCTAACCTGAATGCAGACATTTTCCGGTCAGGTCTCTTAATTCTAGCTGGATACACTTTGCAAAACACTTATACCATCATACGTGTAGCACATGTCTGTCTATAGGCAACAGCGGGTGAAAGGCTCTTAGACCCCGATGTCTTCCCTGCACGCAGGGCAGCAGGTGTTCCAACAACTTTGAGCCTGAAAGTGCCAAGTATTTCTGGGTCCATAATACCTAAGGGAGATAAAGCAGCTTTGGCAAATTACCTTTATCTCCCTCTTCTGTTTTTTGCTTCTTTGCTTCAGGAGCACCTTGTTTCTCTGGCATTTCTTTTTTGCGTTTTGCAGAGTCTTTTGTGACATCTGAAGAAAACAAAAAAAAGTGAGCAGAGGAAAACACAAGTCACACACACACAATAAAACATACTAAATAAACATACCATCATCATCCTCATCTTCCTCCTCTTCATCGTCATCCTCCTCATCGTCGTCATCCTCCTCCTCATCGTCGGATTCTTCCTTTTTGGCAGGAGCTTTTTTTCCTTTAGCAACGGGTGGGGTGACTTCCATTGCTTCATCTTCTTCAGAGTCTGAAATTTCAAAGTTTTATTACATATTGATGCAACCCTTAGGCTTTCTAAAATAGTACCCAACACCTTGGCTGGGTTCACACCTAGGCGTATTGAATATGCGCGTTTGTACCGCGATTCGTGGTAAAAAAAACGGACAAACGCCCGTTTCCGAGGGCTACTTGGCTGTATCCCAATGGAAACGCGAGACCAAAACGCCCCAAAGAAGTACATGTACTTTGGGCGTAGGCCGTTTTGTATCGCGTTCGGACGGGCGTAAATACGGCAAGGTGTGAACCAGACTCATTGAATACATTTAGATGTTTGAGCGTTTTGTAGAGCGTTCGTCGAGCATTGAACGCGCTACAATACGTTCAGGTGTGAACCAGGCCTTAAACCTGGCTTTAAGAGTCAAACAGCACAGATTTAAATATTGCAACAGTGAATTCTGGACAGGAAAGTAAAAAAAAAAACCCAAACACCTGTATTTAAAAAGACATCAATAGGATGACAAATACAAAGTATGGTATTTATGGCACATCAGCAAACATCAGTCATCAAGAATCAGTATTAAGTCCCGTAACTGTTCATCATTTGTGCCAATTCAAAAAAGGAAAAAAGAGACTTACCCTCTTCATCTCCAGACTCCTCCTTCACTGGTTTCTTAGCTTCAGGCTTTTTGGCAGGAGCTTTCTTGGCAACAGGCTTTTTCTCATCTTCAGACTCATCTACAGGATTAAATCATATAATTCCATTAATACAAGGGCAAAAATGAATTTCCGTAAAACAAAAGCAGATATACCTGTGTATGCAAAAAATAGCACATCAGCTGAAGATATCATCAACATTAAGACTTATTCAGTATTAAGTCCCAATATATTCATCATGTGTGCCAATGAAAGTATAGAACAAAACGTATGTGCACTGAAAACACTACAGTGCCCCTTAACCTCCTCATACCATCATCATCCTCTTCCTCATCGTCCTCTTCCTCAGATTCTTCCTTCTTCGCTACTGGTTTCTTGGCAGCTGGTTTCTTGGCAACAGTTTCCATTTCCTCTTCAGATTCCTCCTCTTCATCTACAAAATAGTCACCAAAGACCATTTTAAAAACTAAAAATTAAGACCCCATAGATTGTACATACAGATCTTTTATCCCTCCTGCTCCAGTGTTAGAAATGTATAGCATATAAAAAAATGGCAAGGGAATTTAGAGAATACTTTGTTACCAATTGTAAGATTCCACTATAGCACTAAATTTATTACAAACTAAACATACCACTGTCTTCCTCATCTTCACTCTCTTGCTGCTTTGCCCGTTTTCCATTCTTTGCTACTGCTGGAGTAGCTTTCTTTCCTGGTGTGGCTACAGGCTTAGCTGGAGTGGCTGCTTTCTTTCCTGGAGTTGCCTTAGCTGGAGTGGCTGCTTTTTTGGCTGGTGTATTCTTCACTGGTACCTATAGAAAGAAAAATTCATTAGTGACAGAATGTATGTTGTCTTGCCAAACTCGCAAGCAAAATTTGTAAGGAAAAGCCCTCAAATCAGCTAGAAAACAGCCTACAAGGAGTGAGAAATGACTGGAGTTCACGAGAGAACTCGGGTATTCAATTCCAGGAAATCAACATGGCTGAAGTAGTAGGGTGCATGGGAAGCTCCCCCACAATGACAAGCATGAGGCGGACGTTAGACCAGGGAGGTGTTGAGATGGAAGATAAAATGAGAACACTGGGTCCAAGTCAGAAATGGTGACGGTGACCAGGGTGCGGACTGTTCCTAAGCGCCAGGTAGATCAGAGAATGAATGTAGGGGAAGGCATGGGGGCAGATCAAATCTCTGAATTGGTGCAGACAGTCCTTTCTTCTGGAGGGTGGCTACTTTGGTTCCCCATGTGTGTTGTAAAATAGCCACGGCTCTAAGATCGCTCCTGTGATGGACTACTAGGGATGTCCCGATACAGGACATTTTGACAAGTACAAGCCCCGATGCCTAGCGCTGAAGCTTGCGTTGTTTTTTTACCTTCCGTGGTGGCTGGGGTCCTCTGGGCAGGCTGGAGGAGCGTCGCGGCACTGTGGGCGGAGCTCCAGGTGGGGTCTAATGTAGTTGGTTGGTGACTGCACAGACTCCGCCTGTAGCTCCACCCACAGCAGTGACGCAACACTCCTCCGCTCAGCGCCGCCAACGTCCTCGCATGGAGAAAAAAATTTGGCACCCCATGAGGCTCCATTGAACAGGCACCAGTAAGTAAGGGCCTGTGCTGCTATGATGGCAAATGGTGTACTTTTTGCCAGTATTGTATTTATAATCTGATTGCAAGTGTACATTTACTTCATATAGAGCAGGGGTCCTCAAACTTTTTAAACATGGGGCCAGATCCTAGTTTGAGAAAAAAAAAAAGAAGGTGTGGCTGTGGTGCCGCACTGCCACGCCCCCTCCCAGAACAAAGGGGGAAGTTAGTGAGCAATTGCTGTGCATTCCAGCAGCTGCTGCTCTGGTGTGAATAAGCCCTTACTTAGAGGGTATACGGTATATAAATATTTTTAACAACTTCTTTAATGAACAAAACATTTTTTTAAATACAATTCATTTCTCTTAGCCTGGAACATGTGCTAGCATGATTTCTTATTTTCTACAGCTTATTACAATAAATGGGCATGTAGACTGCCCTGTTTTACCTCTCTACAGCAGCATGCAGCTTTGGGAGAGGCAGGGAGATGACATCACTTCATATCCCAGTTCTCTTATTGGCCGCCCTACAAGAGCCTGTGCTGGCGTGCACCCAAAGTTGGAGTGGCGCTACACTGCCAAAGGAACCCAGGCATTTGGTTTGCCTCGGCATGGGCCCTGAGATGAAAGGGCGCAGCCCGAACACAGAAGCTGCCAAGCTTCCGGAACAGCCTGTGCGTCTTCCGACACCCAGACGGGGCCAGCGGAATGATGATCTCTCCCTGGACCTCGCGGGCGGCCAGCCGATTGATTGCTATATGTTTAGGGCGGCAGGGCCTATTTTAACTGATTGAAGACCAGGTGTTTAGACCACTCCCACCCAGACCATTTTTCAGTATTCAGCACTGCGGTAGTCTGTCAATTTAGCATTTATTTTGCTACCCAGGTTTGCATTAGCAGATCTCGTGCGGAAAAGAACAATTTGGAACTGAGGTTACTTTTGACATTCTTGCCCGTCCAGTATTTTCCTCCATCTTGCAAAGGAGGAAAAAAACACAAAGTTACTGGACCCATGTTTGTACTGCGGTACTTTGATTGACATTTATTCTGTCATGCAACGCTGTACTGAAATGAATTTTATACCATTTTTTGGGGACACAGACCTTTCTTTTGGTGGTATTTACTCACCACAGCGGTTTTTAATTTTGTTTACTATATTTCTGGAAAATTATAGAAAATTTTCAAAAAAAAAAGGTTTTTTTTTACATTGCGTTAGAAAACATTTATTATCACCCAATTATTTGGCAAAACATAAAAGACGGGGTCATGTCGGGTAAATAGACAAACATTTCAAGGTAAAAAATTGTTCGCACTCGCAAAAAAACACCATACACAAAATTGACCATAGGCGACACTTTAAAAACTTTTATAGCTCAGTTTAGCGTTATCAGTGATTGATGACCCTAAAATTATTGCTCACACTGCGACGTTCGTGGCGATATGTACCAGGACCCGGTCGCAATTGCGACCCTGGTAGTTCCGCCACTTGGGGGGGCCCAGCGAAGAAGTGCACTGCCCGAGGGCCGCGACCCGGGGGGCCCCCATCACCTGGTAGCGTAGCATGGGTGGGCCGTCACCCAGTGGCATAACATGCGGGGGCCCGTGGCCCAGCAAGATTCGGTCCGGCGCCAGCGCGCGAGAGGGGCCCGCTAGTACCAGTGGCAGGGGAACGAATACCACAGGCAGCGCTGGGGCCTCGACCGGGAGCTTCCTGAATACACAACCCTGCTGCATGGTGTTCCAGCCTGGAGGACAGTTAGATAAGGTAAGTGATTTAATCTCTGTGACTGCATGTTCTGTGAGTTTGTAGTCCTGTATAGCTGATTGAACTAATCTGCATTTCTGTAGAAATTATTACTGGGAGTTGGTCCTCTATAGCTGGTGCCACTCTGCATTGCAGAATGGCATCAGCTATAGAGGACTACAAGTCCCAGCAATGCATTATAGGGGGGGGGGGGGGGTTTTTGCTTAGGGGGTTTTTTTTAAAAGTGCTTTAATCTCTGTGCCTGTATGTTCTGTGAGTTGTTTGTAGTCCTGTATAGCTGATGGAACTAATCTGCATTTCTGTATAAATTATTACTGGGAGTTGTAGAGTTGTAGTCCTCTATAGCTGGTGCCATTCTGCATTGCAGCAGTGCAGAATGGCATCAGCTATAGAGGACTACAAGTCCCAACAATGCATTATAGTGGTGTGTGTGTGGGGGGTATTCTGCATAGCGGACTTTTATTATAATGCATTGCTGGGACTTGTAGTCCTGCATAGCTGGTGATATTCTGCATTGCTGTATGATTATACAGCAATGCAGAATAGCTCCAACTGTGTAGGACTACAAGTCCCAGCAATGCATTATATTTTTAAGTAGGGATACACCAGTGCCAATACTGGAAAATGCACCGATACTAAACGCAGATACCGGTGTTCTGTCGAGAACGCCGACGTAGTCTAGTTTGCCAACCTCAGCATCTGCGCATAGACTAGTATTATCGAGGAAACCGGCATTTATTCACAAAGTATTTCATTAAAATCGTTAATTCTGACCGTTAATATTCCATCCTTCATTTACTGCCATGGACGGTATATTTTTAATGGTCACAATTAACCATTATAAACGAATACTTTGTAAATAAATGCCGGTTTCCTCGTTCATCCTGTCTGTCGTAAGCGCAGATACTGGGTCAGCATTCGACAGAACACCGCACTAACATTTTAAACAAGCGGCTGCCAGAGGTCCTGCGCTTGCTGGGGACCTCGGCAGCCTTCCTGTTAACCATGTGGTGCCATTGCGGCTGGGGGGGCCCTTCATGGTTTCTTGTACCGGGGCCCTGAAGGTTCTAGTTACGCCACTGGATATGCAACATGGGCGCAATCGTTTTCGCAGGTATGCGCACGCGACACATGTTTGCATGTGTGTATGTATGGGTAGGGACTTTAAAGTTTTTTTTATGTGCAAATTTAAAAAAAAAATGTAATCTTTAAAATTTTGTTTCTCACTTAACTTTATTGCTATCACAGAGGGGGCTAAGAAACCTCCCCTTGTGATAGCAAAAGATGTGACAGGTTCTCTTTATGGAGACATCAGGGGTCTCCAAGACCCCTAATGTCACCTAGGACCCCCGAAGAAGCAGAGAGCTGCCTCATCAGCTTCTCTCCAGTGTCTGAAGCTGGAGTGTGACACCAGAATGCGGAAGTAATGTAAAATAAATCACTTCCGCATTCTTACAGCAGATTCTTGACCAGAGGGAGGTCTTGTACCGACCTCCCTCTGATCCCTTGTGAAAGAGGCACTTTGCTGGTCCTGGGATCAGCGTAACAAGAGGGGGGACACGGGCCGACCACCCATACAAGCGATCCGCCGGTTTGCTTGTATGTTAACAGGCATCGCTGCCCGTTTTTAAATTGACGGTATTTCCCGCACGCAAGTGGGCGTGGCTCATGTAGAGAGCTCCCGGCCGGCAGTAAAAGGTAGGGGCCTGCAGCTCCCTGGCCTTAACACCGGAACGGGCCGTAGGTTGAGGACTACCTGATATAGAGCATTAGGTTAAATCATGATCTATAGCATACTACAAACATAACATGTAGTTGTACTATGGATCATGATTTAACCTAATCATGTTAGCAGGGGAATAGGGGATAATTGAAACTCTATTGCTGTAGTGTACGCTATGTAATACATGTACAGTACTAGCAAAGTATAATTGTAAATGTATTGTCTGCACTGTATTAGCAGTATATACTCTATATGTACTACATATAGACTACACACTGCTAATATAGTGCAGCAATACATTTACAATTATACTCTAACATGAATGGATCTGTATGTAGCCCTGTACTAGGGATCATTTAATCCATTCATGTTAGCAGAAGATAATTGTAAATCTATTGTTACAGTGCATTCTATATGTACTATACTACATATAGAATGCACTGCAACGAGATTTACAATTCTCCCCTAACATGAATAGGTTACCTCACGATCCATAGTACATAACATGTAGTTGTACTATGGATCATTTAAAGTCACCTGTCCCTTTAAGAAAAAGTATCGGTAATTGGTATCGGCAAGTACACGACGGGAAGTACTTGAAAAAGTGGCAAAGGGACATCCCTATGGACTACAATCTGACACTTCGTTTACTAATTTGTATTGAAATTAATCCATCCCGGGAGCAAGCTTGGAGTGGTGGCAACTCTACAACACACACAGGGAACATGGAGAACAAAAGAAGCCACTCTCCACAAATTGAGATGATTTGAGGATTTGCAGCTGGGTGATACACAAATCTGATACATTGTAGTGACACCAAGTTATTACCTCTTCTTCACTGCTCTCGTCCATTTCTTCATCCTCTTCACTGTCTTCCACCTCTTTTGGAGGAGGAGCCTTCTTAGGTTTTCCTTGTGCTTTTGCTCCCTGCAATAAACAAAACATGTCACTCTACACTGGCCTCAGTCATATTGAGTCTATGATTACAGATCATTTGCAAAGGTCACTGGACAAAAAAAATATTTAACTCTGTAATGATACAGCTGCTTTTAAATTTATAATCATACAGTGATTTTTAAAGTGGACTGCTAAGCAGACCGGAACTGTGTAAATTCTTAAAACACTAATTATTGGGCAGAAAAACTCCCCACATGCTTGTGGGTTTTTTCTGCCATGCCAAAGACACAAATAGGTTTTGGGTTAACTAAACCACGTTGTAAAGAAGATTTAACTGTGCAATATTAATGCTAACGTGTCTGGTTTCCTCTTAGTTTGCCGGATCATATAAGCTGAAAAATAATGTTAAAGCTGAACTTGCAGTAAAATGCAAATCCCACTTAATAGATGGGGGTCTCTCCCCCATCAGTAACATTAATACTGTAGGAAAATGAACATTTACCTTCCCCAGGGCACTTAGAGGGTGACATTTCCACCCTTCCAGCAAGAGCCTGAAATCTCAGGAAAAAATACTCACAATCTGTGATGGGCCTAATCCCATGAGATTTCAGGTGCTTGCCATGCCTCAGGATCTAGTTGGAAAAAAGGTAATGTCATCCTCAGCAGTATGGAAGATGTGGGGTAAGGCACGCATATTTAAACAAACGATGCAACACACATGGTGTTCAGCATGTTGCGATCGACTGAAAATATTGTATTGAAAAGAAAACGATGGATATGAATTACAATGACCTTTCTGATACACACTTTAATATCCATGCGATCAATTAGAGAACAGATTGACCAAATTGCAGCACCACCAATTGTTTTTCTAGTCTGAAGTTAGTTATATGAGAGAAGCCACTAGATTCCATGCTGAACCGCATGTAGGACTCTCACCACAGCTTTTGTATTCAGACAGCAGAGATCCTACCAAACACCCAAATAGTGACTGCATCTGATTGGATGGCCGATAATTTTACACTTGACTCCAGTAGACTTTACTTGACCTGTTGAGCTGAAGCATGCAGACAGTTGGAATTTTGGCTGATACAACAAGAAAATCGGTCAAAATTTGAGGTGTGCATGGCCAGCTTTAATTGATCGAGAGCTTACCAAGTCGATTGAATGGATGGTCTGCTGCCTACAATTTTTACTCAATTTGGTTTAAATGCATGAAATGATACGTAGGAAGCCATAAGAATTAATAGCTACCTGAACACAATTCTGGACTAGTATTTTCTATGATGGGAGAAAACGTCTACATTTAAAAAAAAAAAAAAATGTTAGATCTACTAGATCCTTGGCCCCCAAAACCTTATGCATCAATGCCACTGTGTGATCTATCCTGGCCTCCTCATGCTAGCATACACATGGAGCGGACATGATGAAAGGAAAATTACGTTCTATAATCCAGGGACAAACTTGCTATATCATGCACCACATACAAGCATGGTCTGTACCAGTGACTGGAAATGTATTCTATACATAGAACTGAACGTTAAAAAAACGCTTAAAAAAAATGGAAGGATCCGAGGCACGTTTTGTCAGTCCTCCACTAAACTGCTCAGCTCTTAGTTTTAAATCATGAAATTCGAACCCCAATTAGGTTATGGAGTCTAAATTGAGGCCTAGCACCTGTACACCCCCTTCATTAGCACGGCCAGCCACGTGTGGCAAACAGGCCCACACAAGACCACGTGGGGCTACGACATGCCTGCGTGCGGAAGTGAGCCGCGAGGTTGTTTTATACTCGGCTCGCGGGAAAACAAAATGGCGCCGGTAAAGAGACTCACACCTACCACACAGGGGGGACTTGTTAGAGATGAAGTGTGGACAGCAATTGCACTCCTAACAGCGCGGGCCTAGACGCGTGACGTCACCTACCAAGCTCCGCGCGTGCGCACAGCCCTAGGCTTGCTGCACTCTGCAGCGCAAGCATAGGCCGCTTCGCCGTCACTCGCAATTCGGCACATCCTCGATTATTTACAAAACGTATTACAGTATACAAATAATAAACCGTCTCACTGACTGTATATAAAACCATTCAATAATACAAAGCAAATATATAACCAGTAGAGCGCAATCGCAGCTCATTCATATCCAGATATTACCTTAGCTAGTTTAACCATATTGGCGGTCGAATGTCCTCTGGCTGGAATCTCACGTTGTCTGCGCACCGCTTGTGGAGGACTCAAAGGGCCTGTGACAAGAATCCGACTGAGCGCCGAGCTCTAGAGAAGGCGCTAATAAAGATTGCTTATCACGTGCAGCAATCAGCCAATCAGCGAGTGGTGAGGGGGCCGACGTCATCCCGGGCTCTAGCCGCTGTTCTGAGCATGTGCAAAGGCGCGGCCAATGGTGTGCTGAGAAACTGTCGTGGAACGCAAAAGGCGCACCAATGAGAGAGCCGGGCTCACTCTAGCCTATCAGAGAGCGGAGTGCGAATGGGGTTGTAGCCATTTTGGGCGAATTTACCATGTGGTCAAACATGTAGGCAAGATGGCGGTGTAGTGTAAAATTCACACGTGGGTTCCAACCGTCTACAAGGAGTAATTATGTTTCCGTCCTGTCACTGAGAATAAAATTTGATTTCAGATTGCTTTGTTTGTTTTATCGGTGGTTTTATGTTCCAGAAATAGGTATTGTCTTTTGTGTCTTGTAGTTCATTTTATGGGATATACTGGTAACTGGATAAATGTAAAAATTAGGATTCAGAAAAGCAAGAGTGGGGAGAAGTGTTCCCTGTATGTTTTGTGACGGAAGAATGTGACCGTCCTTGGTTCTCGTGTGATAGAAGCAGCGCTGGGATTTGTTGTACTACATTTAAATATTGGATTTTTGAAATAAAAGATAGCCGTCTTTATACAGGTAGTTACATCTTTTCGGTAAACTCAGCACTGACCGCTGTTAATGATCATTTGTTACTACAGAGTTTCAGCTTAGTCGGAAAACTTTCCAGACAACGTGCATCTAAAGTCACACAGTATAAATGATTCTGATAAAAGTGGGCACATCTCTTGTTTGGGGAGGTAGGGAATGGGCTCAGGAACTGACCAATGCTTGTACATTTGTTAAGACAAGATTTAAGCAGAGGATGATCGCAGCATAAGCAATTTAAAACACTTTGATATTGTAAATAAATAAAGGAAAACGTTTTGGTGGACACTTTCCATATGCTGCTCCCCTCATCATTTACAGGGAGCAGAGTTAGATTGTGAACGCCACTTTAAATGCTGCTGAATCCTCCACGATTTACCTTGGTATCAAATGATAAGGGTTGGTCATTCAGCTAGTACAGTTTTGGGGGGGGGCTGTGGAAAGTACGACTAAAACTAAAATGCCATTTTAGTCATCTGTACTGTTTTAGTTTTGTCAACTGAGTCTCCACTAGAGAAAAGTGCAATGTACTTTCATCATAGTTTTAGTCCTATTAACTTTATTAACTATAAACAAGATTTTGTTTTCGTCACTGAAAACATGCAGCTGATGAAAACAATGACAAACAATGAAAATAGTTTTCAATGAAAACTATGACATAATATGTCCATTGTTTAAAATAGTCCATGAGCTTCTTTTGTGGTGCCTATCAGTTCGTTTTGCTCCATAGATTTCATTGGAAACGCGCCAAACAGCACGTTTTTGAGGTTTTTTTGTTTAGCGCATTTCTGCAGCTGTGACTGCATTTCATTGGACAGCTGAAAACAAGACTTAAAACGCTCTTACACATAAACAGAAAACGCCTGTGAAACGCTGTCGCACTGGAGTGAATAAGGCCTTAAAGTGTCACTAAAGTCCAGAGTTAAATCTTAACTATTAACAAGCATGTATCTTATTTGTGTATCAGTCAGCTGTAGAGCCTCAAATCATCTCTGAATTGGCACTGGCCTTCCTTCTGGAGGGTGGCTACTTTTGTTCCCCATGGTCCCTGTGTGTGTTGTAAAGTAGTCACCGCTCCAAGCTCGCTCCCATAATGGACAATAATCTCACCTTTTACTCATTTGTATTGAAATTGTAGTCCATCACGGGAGGGGGCTTGGAGTGGTGACTACAACACATACACACAGGGACCATGAGGAACAAAAGTAGCCACCCTCCAGAAGTTGTCCACCACTGCTTTAAGGCCAAGTTCACACTGGCTCAAGCTTGTATGAGAGCAGTGTGTACAGCAAACTTCAAGCAGTCTTATTAAAGCCTTGAAAGAAGATCTTCGGGTAAAGAAAAAAAACTCATGGCTGCAGTGGGGCTTCTCCTCGCAGTGACTAGGGATTTAAATAAAGCGGTTTTACTTACCTGATCTTGGCTCCTGCAGCGGTGAGCGCTAATCTCTCTCCTCCTCCACCCCTGATGCTGGAATGTTCTTCAGCATCCTCATGTCTAATGCAGGCCAATGGACCTGCATAAGATGTGATGATGTCAGTAGACCTTAATATTTTGCAGTGCAGGGGTAGCCCCACTGTAACGGTAAGTTTTCCCAAAGTTCCTCTGTAATGCATCATTCAGCTCCAGTTTGTAAAATATAAGTGCTGAACGTAAAGTAACATTCATATTGTACACAATGCACCCGGTCTGAATGAAGTGGAACAGTGGTCTCTACTAGACCTGCTGTCACGTGAATGCACCCTTAGCGACTCCTAAGGACAGGTGAGAACTTCTACCTTGTGTTTTCTGTCATTGCAATTCTTCGATTTTAGATAGGAGCAAGCTTGCATCTTGTCATGCTGCAAATAAGAGTCATAGCTTTTATATCTACTTGACAAAGTGCCAAGGCCCTGATCCATTTGATTACTCTTTACTGAACAGAGAGAAGGATCTTTATTGTAAATCCCCATCTGTCACTACATTTACCTGCTTGCTTTGCATTTCCTTATAGCATATGAAGAGTCCTTAGCTCTGTGTCATGTGCATGACTCCATATCATTCCTGGTCAAGTCTTAGCAGTCATTTAGGAGGAAAGGTTTTTGCTTGGCGGGTTACCTGCCTTATGGGTTTGGTGTATTGTAACGTCCACATGCTACTTGCTAATAGTTGTGCATCTGACAATGAAAGCATACTGGACTTACAATACACATTAAATCTTTTAAGCACACCTATGGATATGTGGTATCTTTTTGAGCTTAATCTTTAAACTCTGTCCCCCCCCCCCCTTTTCTTTGAGAGCTTTCATCTTGGGCCCAGGAATGTGTTTGCAGTTTGCTTGTTTGGCGTATGCATTGTAAATAGGACCAAGAAGAAAAAAAAGGAAGGCATATGCTCCACATTCTGTTTAATGAAAGTGTATCTTGCTTTGAATGGGAAAGGGTGAGAACCAGTCAGTTTTTAGGCCCTATTCACAGTCCAGCTGAGACTCAGGATGTTTTTGGGGCTTTTTTTGAGTGCTTGTAGGTGTTTTTTGCAAGTATTTAAAGGGTTATTAAACCCTCCGGGTTTTGTTTTGTTTTTTGCATACATCTACGGCTAACAAGCAGTAGATATATGCAAAAACGTTTTTTTTTAAAAACACTTTAAAAGAGGTTAAAACGTACCTGTGTCTTCGCCGCGCGCTCCTGTCTGAAAATCTTAAACACCTCGGGCGGCCGCAAGGCATCTTGGGGCGGGTGCATGCGCAGCTCAGATTTTCGGCTGGGAGGCGAGTAGAGAAACAAGGCAAGTCTATGGACAGCGTGCACCCGCATGCAGATACCGTGGGACAGGAAGTGACAGCAAGGACAGTGGAGTCAGGGCTCGAGCGGAGACCCACAGCAGCGCTGGAGGGACAGCTTATAATGACAGGAAAGAAGAAGATCGGATTAAGAGACATAATTTAAGGTAAGTGCTTACACTAACATGGGGGGGGGGGGCGGGGGGGAAAAATACTTT